GTTGATGCCTTGGGACTGAGAGGTGGGACGCCTGGGCAGCAAAGACAAGTCTAAGTCGGTGATTCAGAGGTAAGAAACGCTCAAGTGGAACTCAATAGGGAAACCCAGACCCAGAGGGCGGAGCGTGGGAGGAGCGTGGAGGAGAGGAAGGGCCATGGAAGGAATGGGGGCAAAGATGGCTGAGAGTGTGTGAGGGTAAGCTCAGATCGGTCTTGGATGGGGCAAGCGGAAACGAGTAAGGGAACGGACGTGGTTTCTTCTCTCTACCCGTGTGATGTAAAGATGAAACGAGAAGCATGTGTTCATGTTCCCTTTTGCTGGGGGCTCTCTTTTCTTAGTCTTCGGTGCAGTGCTCCAGTTTTGCCGCTTCTTTTCGCGGGTACTTTCGTATGTCTGTCTTCTCACTCACTTTGCACTATTTCCGTGTCAAAGCTCTGGACGCCAAAGCGCATGCTTAGAGCACGGAATAACGACGGGATACCATTTTCTCATACTCGCATATGCAGGTTGAGGGGCCATCTGGGATCGCCCGTGCGGGAGGATGGATCACCTTCCGGCTCGTCCCAGAGTGGTCTGGGGCAAAGCCAGGAAACGCATGCTTTGCGATCCAAGACAGGTACTGCACCCAATTCCCCCTTCCTCATCCTTACCCGTCCACACCATCCCTTCCCCTCCACCACCCTTTCATTTTCTCCATGTGTCGCCAATCTCTGACGATCAATGCCTAGAAGGGCAATTCAATGGAGAGATTTCATCTTTTGTTTTACAAGTCATGGGAAGTGGTGTCCATGGTTCGCAGATGAGCGGCATGGATTGGCTGACCGGAAGAAACGCGAGCCAGGGGATGCGATTCCGAGGACACACGTGAAGGGATCGTTTTTAATTTCTTGCCCAGCGCGTTTTCTCTGCCCGTGTTTGTGTTTAGGAACATGTGTTATCCATGATGTATATTACTGGCACATGGAGTATTTGACATCTTGACTCCAAAGGCTAGTTGACAGATCCATACCTACCCCATCATGACAAAAGACAAACGTCTCTAGACTCTACGGAGTTCGTTTCCGCCGGATCATGCATTTATGCGCTTCAGCCTCTAGTCAGTCAATCAATCACATTTGACATGTTGACGGACCCGTGATGGGAACTCCTGTCAAATGCTCTGGCATTGCCATCTAGAATTCCTAGCTGCACTCGTCCTGCCTAGCAACTAATAACCCATCCAAAACCCCCTTGAAGAAGTCGGTGGCGATAAACATGATTTGAAAACCAGTAAAGCCAGGAAAACCATAAACCGACGCAAGAAAACCCAAATAACCATAATACCCGACTCCAGCAGGCTCCAGGATATGCGGCATGCCAAACACCCGTCTATCTCTAATGCTGACACGAGGAGGAAACCAGTCCCTTTGATGTACCTCCTTACCCCGTCCATGAATCCAAAAAAAATCCAAAAACGACAATCGATGCTAATTATCCGGGGATATTCCCTCAGCTGGGATCACCCCTCACCCACACTTCATCCTTACGACAAGAGACCCTCTTCTTGCATGTCAGCCTGGGTCTCGCGGATGATGTCGCCAAGCTCCTTGATGGTATCCTTGTCACGGGGTAGGGTATGGCCCTTGGCGTGGTCGAAAAGATATGCGGTGTCGGGATCGCACATGTTGTAAAGGGCCATAGAACCATCGACATAAGGATCCAAGGATCCGACTGAAAGGAAGAGGATCGTCAGCATTCCTCCGGATAAGCAGCATTGAAGCAGTGCGAATATCATCTTGACTTACTGATGTGCAAGGTGCGGGCCTCGATGCGCTCCTCGCTCTCGTCAGAGAGGACCAGGGCGTGAGTCTTGGGGTCGACCGGAGGCCAGCCAGCAAAGAAGATGCCGTACTTGAACGCCGGCTTGATGCCGGAGCGCTTGAGGCGACGCTGCTCGTAAAGCATAAAGGTGGATGCCACGGTGGCGCCCTCGGAGTAGCCGATGATGCCGTCAAAGGGGCCGCGCTTCGCGACAATGTCGGCCAGGAACTTGATGGCTCTGTCGGTACTGCGGTGGGTGGTTGCGATGCCTTCTCTCATGAGCTCTCTCATCGTGTCTTCGGGGGTCTCGCAGTCGGGGAAGTCACGAATGCGCATGAGGACATCGTCGCTGTGGGACTTCTCGACATCTCTATCGGGCTCGATGAAGCGGTAGTAGGGGGGAGCTCCGAAATAGTCCTCAAATCCCGGAGGCGGGACGGCCTTGCAAGGTCCATGGATGAAGTGGAACTGAGCCGTGCCATCCTCAGTAAGCTCCTTCAAGATGGGGGCTGAGAGAACTATCAGTAAGTGAATCTCAATAGTGAAGCCGCTCACGATAAGTCTGTGGTGTCTATTGCATGAGGGAGAACTCACCAAGTTGAACTTGGAATTTCTAGTGTATGTTAGTAAAATGCCCTAGATAGCATCATCAGGTCTGAGTACTCACGTCCGAGCTGCCGTAGGCACCGGGAAGGCACAAGAAGCGCAACATGGTGAATGTAGGTATGTGTTAGCGTGAGATGTGAGAGCGGAACCGAGCGAGACCGATCGTCCAATGACAAGTGAACTGTCAAAAAGCGGGAAGCTGGAAAGTCGACGCGAGAGTATTTGTGATGGAGTGGTTTGATGATGTTGATGATTGTGGATGATGAATCAGCGAGGTGTGGAGATGAGATAGTTCGATGAGGATGGCCTGGCCAACAGGAGCGTTTTAATCAATTCGAAGCTATCTAAAGAAACACTTGTGATATGATGCGCGGTAATCGACCCACGACGAAATCATCAGCTCAGACAGGTAATGAGACGGCGCAGCAGTTGAGGCGGGACGACGACAAGACACAGGAGGCGGCTGAGTTGACCCAGTCCCAGGCTTAGAATGACAACTCAAATCAACCGTGACCCGGAACGAATAAGGAACTTGTGAAACTCTGCACCTCAGCAAGATTGGGGCGATGAGTTGTCTTGTCGGTACCTTGCCGTTGAATGATAGGACCAACCCGAACAACGGGTCGGTTTGGGCTGTCTATGGGAGCGCGAGAGCTGGAGCGGAATACTGGACCAGTGGCTGATGGGTGGATGAGTGCTTCACTGAATGGGTTGGAATGATGAGGTGATGTGAGACCGGGCCTGTGAGTATCGGTCCTGAGACCGGCTTGGCAGGGTGTCCCGGTCCTCGGGCGAGTAAAAACTGGACGAGGATAGACGATGTTAGTGAGTGGGCGACTCAAGACATGGAGGCGAAACAAGCGCGGCGAGACGCCACGCCACATGGAAGGAGTCGAGGAATGCCTGCCAGTGGGCTTCTCTGCAGAGAGAGGCAAGACACTTGGCAGATAGCCTGATAGACGTGGCAGGCTGCCAGTCAGTCTCTGGGCATCCCGAGATCCGAACCCTCGGTCGACGCGTTGGTGATGCACTGGTGCAACCGATGACATGTTGGTTGTGAATGGACTACTTTGGGCTGGACTTCGGTCCGGCTCTTGTCACCTTGTAAGCTTGAAACGGGATAAGGAAGTGCCCGCGCGGGGGCGCAGTGTGGGTGTGACGGTCTCCTCTATCTGACTAGAACGGGCGAGATGAGCAGAGCGGGATGGGTGGGATAGTCAGAAAGTGTGCTGAAGAGTATGATGGGCTTGAATGAGGATGTGGGATGAGAAGGTTGTGAGAGTGCGCTTGTGCGTACATATCGGAGAGTAAGCGAGGATGAAAGGCGGGTGAGAGAGATTGGGCGATTGAGTGGCCTGGGGGATGAATGAGTGAGTGAGTGAGCGGCGCCCACGGTAGGCGCGTGTGTTTGCAGAGAAGGAAACATTGTTTTGCAAAGATGCGTTTCCTTGGAACACGGCCGTTCGCTGACTTGCAGAACGACTTGACGGGATGTGGTTAGATGAGCTAGGATGGAACAGGACACATTTGGGGGATGAGAGTTCTCGTATGTGATCCTTGAGTGAGTGAGCATAGCGCAGGGTGAGTTAATTAGTGGGTAGGGGTAGGATTCAGGTACACATTGACAAACGAAGCGTACTGCAGCGCGGCAAAGTCCGAGGTACCTCCTTGAGGTTCTAGCTGTACACGAGCTAGGACGACCGTAGAACCATACTAACGCCTGCGCAAATCGAGTGCGGTGCAGGGACAAGGCCTCTAGTGTGGCTGGCGCGTGTCAAATAAGAGCTTTGATGGTGCAACGGCACGGGAAGGAGGTGCGACGGAGGGCGCGCTTGTGATTTGGAAGCTGCCAAAGCTTTCTGACAGAAGCAGTTTTAGAAACACCCTTCATGCCTTGGGTTCTCTGCCAGTGACAACGAATAGAACCGGGATAGGGAGTCGAAACCTGAATGCGAGACCGAACTCTCTTGACTCGATGGAGTTGCGGCCACGATTGTTGTTGTCGAGAAGGATGATCTGTAATTAGTTGTGTCCGAGAGATGTGGAAATGTTCAAGGGAGTTGGGCTGAGATGCGAGTGGAAGTATTGCGGAGAGTTTCCATCGAGGTGGACCAGAGACACGGGTATGGAGCATTAAGCAGGACAATGTCTTAGACAGTGTAGTACGATAAGAAGGGTAGATGCGATAGGTCGATAAGACGATAAAGTGGATATGGTCATATGCGGTGCAACCCAAGGCGACCTTACGTTGACTTCATCCTCTCTTCATCCTCATCTCCCGTTTCTCCCAATCCCCAGTCGCCAGGTCAGGCGAAAAGGGCCAAGGCAAGCCAATTCGGGCGATAGATCCGACTATTCCTTTTTCGGGATCCTGCACCAACACCTGCATATGGTGCCGTTCGAAGGCTGCATCTCCCACCCGCAATCACTGCGAACTCTCTGCAGCTTGGATCTGCCGCCGCGTTTTTCTGTACCTTCCAACCCCTGCTTTATTCCCCCTTCTCTCCCCAGATGTCTCGCCCGCCGGATATTGTTCCAGACGCAGGTATACTACGAATACTGTTGTTGCCCCAAGGCTGCTGCCGAGTGCCCACTCAACCCCTTTCGCTAGGCTGTCTTACAGTAAGACAGACGTTGGAACGGTCCTGGGTCCTTTCTTATTCATCTGTATAGGAACCGGCACCGCATACCTTGGCAGACTCGGTTTGCTTGATGCGATAGGCCTCTGTCCTGGTTCTGACCATGTCATCGGGACGAAAGTGGGCAGAGAACAGACGCAACGCCTCGACACCTCCGCCGCTGCTATCGTGACCGTCGGTGCTTTTGACACAAGACGCACTCTTTTCTAAACCGAACAACAAACGAGCGCCGATGACCAGACCAACTGAACATGAGAGCAGATGAAGGGACAAGCTCCGCCACGTTGGGTTTCTCCAGCAAATGTTCTGCATAATCCACAGAACCCGCAGATATTCCCAGCAAGTAGGTCCAGACGGATGCCTGGAGATGGGGAGAAATATGCACTCCGCCCCATCATCTCTTCTACGGGCAGCTTTCGGAGCTGCTCTGCCTCTTTCTCAGTGTCTCTCTTTGTATGTGTCTCATTCGGTAGGATGGCAAGATGATCAGTCTGTGGCCAGAAGCTGCAGGATCCCATGCTTCTTGCTCTCCCTTGGCACTGGATTACTGGGTCGCCACTGCAGCGGCAGCTTCCAGACATCGGCCGCAAAATGGCTCTCAAGAGTCCCAAGTGAATCCTAACAGAGCCTCCTCAAGTTTATGAGGCTCAAAGAACCTCCGGGAGGCCAATCATGACGGTGAACGAGACTTACATAATCCGCAACAAAGTTCTCCACTCCGGCCTGCTAGGCCGAGTCGGGACCATGCCGCAATGACCTCGTCTCTCACGTCCACGGAGCACATTGCGTGCTGCGTTGCCATGCCGCGCTGTGCTTGGCTCTGGTGCTTCCAATGCTGCTGCTCCACCTCCTGATGGCCCAGCTCGCCGTTGCTGCTGCTTCACGGTCCAATGCTTCAGTGGAGTTACCCACCCCAAAGAGAACCCCCAGCCGTTTACTGCGTAGTGCGGCGTACCGGTGCAGACACCATGGCAACTCCCCTCGGCGACGACTTCACCACCTCACCTCCGAACCACGCCACCGGGCTCCCGTCCGGGAGGTTCGAGTGTTCATTGCGTTCCCATGTATTGGTCCGAATCAAACGTCCGGCTTCTGCACTCTGCAAAGAAACTGCATACCAGACTGCATACCAGCCTGGCAGTGCCGCTCAATTGCAAACAAACTAAGGCACGTCTTCACGCCATCCAGCATCCAGCAAATCAAGGGCAAACCGCCTTGCAGTTGATCATGTCTCCGAATCACAGTGACCGATTGGACATGGAAACACCCCCTTGGACGATGAACCGCCGGTCCTGCTTCTCGCCGCTTCATGGACCGCATATCCCTCCTACCCCTTCTCCAGTGATGCGCGAATATGACGAACGGATATACCAATTTGCCCACACATTACGCATAATCAGTTCATGAGGACTTGCTTTTGACCAGATTAACCATAGACATGGTACAAGCTTCTCGCCTCGGCCGCCACTGGGCCACTTCCCTCGTGCTGATGCTGGACAATCCTCCCTGGTGAATCTGGGGGAGGCGACGTCGTGGTGAGCAGGGACTGCCGCTGCTCCGCTGCTCCGGGTCGACATGGGCAACCCGGCATCGGATGTGCCCTGGCACCTCTCCGTGATGGTCCTTGTTCGTTGCTGGCATGCGCCCAGTATGCACGTTCGGGATCTCCCTATGATCTACCTAACCGTCAGGCAAATTTAAATCACACAGGCTAGTCTGTGCGAGGAACTCCGGCCGACTTGGCGATCTGAGCACCAACCAGTGCCTTCCATGTCAACTCACTCGCGACGGAGCGAGCACCATCAAGTGTGATATTTCCCCATGGCCGTTGATCAGCTAAAAACCCTACGAAGAATCCCAATCAGGACCAGGAAAGAAGTTTCGTCACACTCACTCATCTCAACGAGGCTTGGTACGTACTCCCATATCAATCCGGCCTGCCCTCTTCCAAGCCCCAAGTTTTCTATCTAGAGCATACGCAGTCCGCCTTTCGTTTCTTCCTCCTCCTCATCCGCATTCTTCCCTTCTTCTTTTGATCATTGTAAGGAACGCCTAGAGCGCCGGAACCTTCGCTGTCACTTTCTTCGTTGCTTTCGACGAATGCTTGCCGGATAGATTCGACACATACAAGCGGCTTCCGCCAATCCCCCTCTTCCACCCTTCATCATGGCGCCCGGCGTGCTGTCCTACTCCTCATCGGGGACATCGCCATCGGCAAGTCCTGTCATGATGACCCCGATCGATCACTCCGATACCACATCCGATGGCTTCACTAGCCTGTCCGTGGGGCCCCTAGACGGTGTCGGCCTCAACATCCACGGACAATCAACAAATGGTCACTCCAATGGCCACTCCAACGGCAGTGCCAGTGCTCATGCGACGAGCCAGGGCTACACCAACCCCGTCGGCGGCAGCGACGCCGGCCTGAAGCAGATGCCCATCGCCATCGTCGGTATGGCCTGCCGTATGCCCGGCAGCGTCTCCAGCCCCGCCGAGTTCTGGGAGCTGTGCTCCCGCGCCAGAACCGGCTTTACTCCCGTGCCCAAGGAGCGCTTCAACCACGAGGCATTTTACCACCCGAACCCGGGCAAGACTGGAGCTTACCACGCAGAGGGTGGTAACTTCTTGGACGTCGACCTGGCGTCGTTCGATGCTCCTTTCTTCGGTTTGACGGAGAAGGAGGCTATCTCCATGGACCCCCAGCAGCGTCTTCTGCTCGAGTGCACATTCGAGGCCCTCGAGAACGCTGGTATCCCCAAGCACACGATTGTTGGAAAAGACGTCGGTGTCTTTGTCGGCGGCAGCTTCGCCGAGTACGAGAGTCACTTGTTCAGGGACAGTGACACGATCCCCATGCATCAAGCCACAGGTATGAGGGTAACCCCTGTACCCCAGACGTTTAATTGCGCTAATATACGGTTTAGGATGTGCCCATGCGATGCAGTCTAACAGACTCTCACATTTCTTCGATCTCAGGGGACCGAGTTTCACAGCAGACACAGCTTGCTCAGCAAGTTTGGTCGCCCTCCACTTGGCGTGCCAGAGTTTGCGTGCTGGCGAGTCAACCTCAGCGATTGTTGGTGGTTGTCATCTGAACATGCTGCCCGAGTTTTGGATTTCCTTCTCGTCTTGCAGGTAGGCATGCGCTGCACGCTTGAATGCTTTTCGTCACACTGTCTCTCCGTTACTGACACAATGACTGCAGATTGCTCGCGGACTCTGGCCGATCTATTGCCTTTGACCAGCGCGGTACCGGTTTCGGCCGTGGCGAAGGTTGTGGCATGATTATCCTTAAGCCCCTCGACCAGGCCATCAGAGACAACGACTCAATTCGTGCGGTCATCAGAGGCACTGGCATCAACCAGGATGGCAAAACGCCTGGTATTACTATGCCTAGTGGCGCAGCACAGGGTATGCAACATTGCATCCAGTTTTTCATGAAACCATTTACTAACAATCTTCACAGAGAAGCTCATGAGGCAGATCTACAGAAACGCAGGTCTTGACCCCAATGACTGCGGTTATGTTGAGGCCCACGGCACTGGTACCAAGGTCGGTGACCCGATTGAGGCCACCGCGATCCACAATGTCATTGGTCAGAACAGATCAACGAAGGATCCCTTGTTCATCGGCTCAGTCAAGTCGAACATTGGTCACTTGGAAGCGGCGTCTGGTATCGCTGGTGTCATCAAGGCAACCATGATGCTGGAGAGAGGCTTCCTCCTTCCCAACCACGACTTCAAGAAGCCCAACGAGAAGATTCCGTGGAAGGAGTGGAACATGAAGGTTCCTGCCACTCAAAGGCCCTTCCCCAAGAACAAGAAGTACATCAGTGTCAACAACTTCGGTTTCGGTGGCACCAACGCACACGTTGTTCTTGAGAAGGCACCTCACACCGGCGCCCCCAAGAAGGACAACAAGAACCTTCCTCCTCCCGATAACAAGAAGGCAAAGAGCACAAAGAAGATCTACGTCTTGTCTGCCAACGACAAGAACTCTGTCGGTGCAGTCATGAAGAACCTCGTTGTCTACCTCGAGCAGAGACCAGAGATTTTCCAGAACGATCTCATGGACAACATCGCATACACGCTTGGTTCGCGTCGCTCAATGCTCCCATGGAGGGTTGCTATCCCCGCCACTGACTCTTTCGAGCTTATCGAGACCCTCAACAGCGGCAAGGTCATTCCTGGTAAGGAGACTGAGCCCTTGAGAATTGGTTTCGTCTTCACTGGTCAAGGTGCTCAGTGGTGGGGCATGGGCCGCGAATTATACGGCCAGTACCCCATTTACACTGCCGCCATTGACAGAGCTGATGAGTGTCTGAGGAAGTTGGGTGCTGAGTGGTCCCTCGTCGAGGAGCTCAGCAAAGACCAAGAATCTTCCAAGGTTTCCGAGGCTCACATTTCTCAGCCGGCTTGCAGTGCTGTTCAGCTTGCATTGACTGACCTTCTCCGCACCTGGGGCATTCGCCCCGCGGCTGTTGCTGGTCACTCCTCTGGTGAAATTGGCGCCGCGTACGCTGCCGGTATCATTGGCTTCGAGGCCGCCATGGCCATTGCCTACCACAGAGGCCGTCTCATCCCCATCCTGAAGCAGAGAAACCCTGATCTTCAGGGCTCCATGATGGCCGTTGGCGGAACCAAGGAGGAAGTCCAGCCCATGATCGACGCTCTCAAGCAACAACAGGTCAGAATTGCCTGTTACAACAGTCCCTCCAGTTTGACCATTTCCGGTGACTCCGCAGCTCTCGGCGAGCTCGAGAAGAACCTTGAGGACAAGCAGATGTTCAACAGACGCCTGCAGGTCGAGACTGCTTACCACTCGCATCACATGAACCTTGTTGCCAAGGAATACCGCGAGTCCATCTCTGAGCTTCCCCATCCTCAGACTACCGATGTCCGCTTCCACTCTTCCCTCTACGGACACCAGATCGACGGCTTCGAGTGCCAGGCTCACTACTGGGTCAACAACCTTACCTGCCCTGTGCGCTTCTCTGAGGCTCTTGAGACCATGCTGGAGCCCGTCGGCGATCACAAGACTGGTGTTAACATGATCATCGAATTGGGTCCTCACTCTGCTCTCCAGGGACCCATTAAGCAGATCCTGAAGCACGTCGGAGAGGCTGCCATGAAGGTGCCTTATGCCTCTCCCCTTGTCCGTAAGAAGGATGCCGTTGAGTCTGCGATGGACTTGGCCTGCAACCTGATCACCAAGGGTGCCATTCTCAACATGGACAACGTTAACTTCCCCAACCTGAAGAAGAAGCCGTCACTGTTGACTGATCTTCCCCGCTATGCCTGGAACTACCAGAACAAGTACTGGCAAGAGTCTCGCATGACTCAGATGCACAAGTATCGCAAGTCGCCCAGAAATGACTTGATCGGTCTCGAGGCCATCTACTCCAGCGATCTCGAGCCGACATGGAGAAACATTGTCCACTTAGATGACCTTCCATGGCTTCGCCACCACGCGATCCAGTCGGTGACAATCTTCCCCATCTCTGCCTTCATCGGCATGGCTTTGGAGGCTTCCGCTCAGTGGGCTCAGCGCAAGGAGATTTCATTCGAGAAGTACGAGCTGAGAGACGTCTCCGTCGTCAAGCCATTAGCTCTGCAGGATGCTGATGTTGAGATGACTATCAACCTGCGCCCCCACCAGGAGACCAATCTGACTGCATCCGAGACTTGGAAGGAGTTCCGCATTTGCTCTTGGTCTCACGGCAGTGGCTGGACAGAGCACTGTGTTGGTCTCATCGCTCTCCATGGCACTGAGACTAATGAGGTCGATGGCAAGGAGCAAAAGCTCGCTGCTCTTCGCGGGGCTGAGGCTACCATGAAGGCCAGTGAGGGCCCTGAGGCTGTTGCCGTTGCGGAGAACGACATGTACGAGCGCCTGACTGAGCTTGGTGTCGGCTACGGACCTTCCTTCCAGTGCATCAAGGACTGCAAGGCGTCGAACAAGTACTCCACTGGTACCATTTCATCCTTCGATGTTGCGGCCGAGATGCCCAACCACTACCAGACCAGCTCTGTCCTCCACCCTACCTTCTTGGAGTCTGTCATTGAGATGTACTGGCCCATCCTTGGCGCCGGCCGCACTGACATCAACACGGTCTACCTCCCCTCTTCCATCGGTCGCATGTCCATCTCTCGCGACATCACCGCCCTTACTAAGGAGGTTGGCAGCACCCTCAAGGCATACTGCAAGGCTGATTTCCCCGCCGAGGCCCGCTCTACCAAGGTCTCTGTCTTCGCCACCTCAGAAGCCAACGACTTGGTCATTGAGATTGATGAACTCACCGTTTCTCCCATTATTGACGGAGAGACTGAGCTGGCTAGCAACCCTGCTCGCGAGCTTTGCTACAAGCTTGAGTGGGAGGAGATTGGAACTCTGAAGTCGCTGTCTGGCAAGTCCAAGACCAAGATTAACGGTGCCTCCGGTGTCAAGGTTGATGCTCCTTTGCCCGATGTTGACGTCGCCATCATTCACGGCGACTCCAACTCTCAGCAGATGTTGGCCAATGGTCTCGCGATTGCTCTGGCCAGTGCAACCTCCAGACTGCCTGAGATGGGTACCATGCACGAAGTCAATACTGAGGGCAAGCTTACCGTCGTCCTCACTGAGATTGAGCAACCTTTCCTTGCCAACCCTACCAAGGAGCAGTTTGCCGAAGTTCGTGGCATGCTTGCCGGTGTCCAGGGCTGTTTGTGGGTTGTCCGTGGTGCATACGACAAGGCTACCTCGCCTGAGTCCAACATGATCATCGGTCTTAGCAGAACCGTTCGCTCTGAGACTGTCCTGCCCTTCGCCACCCTTGACCTGGACGACAATAACCAGCTCGACGAGGACGATTCCGCTGCAGTCATCTTTGAGATCTTCAAGCTCGCTTTCGGTGCTAGTGCCTCGTCCACCAGCGAGCTTGAGTTCATGGAGCGATCCGGCAAGCTCTCCACTCCCCGCATTGTTCACGATGAGGACATGAACGAGTTCGTCCACCGCGAGACCAACCCTAGCGTTGTTGAGATGCAGCCTTTCGGCAAGGACAAACGATGCCTCAAGATGGAGTTCTCCACTCCCGGTGCCATTGAGACGGTGCACTTCGTTGACGATATTGCTGCCACGCAGCCTCTTGGAGAGAACGAGATTGAGTTCGATGTTAAGGCCGTCGGCATGAACCTTCGCGATGTCATGATCGCCAAGGGCCAGATCCCTGAGGCTGACAAGCACGCTCTTGGTGTCGAGGCTTCCGGTATCGTCACCAGAGTCGGCTCTGCTGTCAGGGCCCACAAGGCCGGCGACCGCATTGCCGCCCTCACCATCAGCCACGGTGCCTATGCTACCCGCACTCGCACCACCGCTGCTAATGTCATGGCCATGCCATCCAACATGTCCTTCGAGGATGCCTCAACTCTTCCCTTGGCTTACTGCACTGCCTATTACAGCTTGGTCGAGCAAGCCCGCCTCCGTGAGGGCCAGCGCATCCTGGTTCACTCTGCCGGTGGTGGTATTGGCCAGGCTTCAGTCTGCCTCGCAAAGATGATCGGTGCTGAGATTTTCGTCACTGTCAGCACCGCCGCCAAGAAGAAGCTTCTCATGCAGCACTACAATGTTCCTGAGGACCACATCTTCTACAGCCGCAACACCACCTGGAGAGCCGCCGTTAGACGCGCGACCAACGATGAGGGTGTTGACGTTGTTCTCAACACCCTTCCCGGCGCCGATGCCCTGAGAGAGAGCTGGGCTTGCCTCAGCCGCTTCGGTTGCCTCGTTGATGTTCGCAGAAAGGATGGCTCTCGCGCCACCCGCCTCGACATGGGCCAGTCTGACAGCAACGCCTCCTTCCTCAGTGTCGACATCTTCGGCCTTGCCGCCGAGAGGCCCAAGATTATGGAGAGACTCGTCGCTGATGTCTCCAAGCTTCTTGCCGACGACCAGCTCCGACCCATCGACCCTGCCACCGTCTTCCCCGTGTCCTGCATGGAGACAGCCTTCAAGACGCTGCAAACCACCCAAGGCCCGGGCAAGTTGGTTGTTGTTCCTCATGCTGAGGATGTCGTCATGGCTACTCCTTCCAAGGCTGCCAAGGCCCTTCTGAAGCATGATGCTACCTACCTCCTCATCGGTGGTACTGGTGGTCTCGGCCGTAGTATGTCCAGGTGGATGGTCGCCCACGGCGCCAGGAACCTTGTTCTCCTGTCCCGCAGTGGTTCTGCCACTGGCAAGGTTAAGGAGCTCATCGACGAGGCTGCTAACGATGGTGCTCACATCACCGTTCGCCCTTGCAATGTCGCCGACAAGTCTAGCGTTGAGCAGTTGTTCAACACTGGCCTCAAGGGTCTTCCTCCCGTCCGTGGTGTCATCCACGGTGCTATGGTCCTTCGTGTATGTTACCCATCTTATTCACCTCACCTTCTTTGTACTAACATTAGTCTAGGATGTTCTGTTCGAGCAAATGACCTACAACGACTACACCTCGGTCACCGAGTCCAAGGTCCAGGGTGCATGGAACTTCCACAATGCCCTCCAGGAGCGCCAGACTGAGCTTGACTTCTTCATTGCCATCTCTTCCGCTGCCGGAGCCGTCGGTAACCGTGGTCAAGCCGCTTATGCCGCCGCCAACTGCTTCCTCAACGCCTTCGTCCAGCACCGTCTTGCCCTTGGTCTGCCCGCTACCTCTCTCGACTTGACCGCTGTCTCTGATGCCGGTTACCTGGCCGATGGTAGTGCCGAGCGTGCTGCTGAGGTCGCCAAGAACTTGGGATCCGACAGCATTTGCGAGGCCGAGGTGCTTGCCCTCATCGGCGCATCCATTTCGAACAAGACTTCCGTCTGCAACCACCACGTCATCACTGGTATGCGTATCACGCCCAGCATCCAGCCCTTCTGGACTCCCGATGCCAAGTTCAAGGCTCTCCGCCTGGCCGCCGAGGAGCTTGCCGCTGCCGAGGCCGGTGCCAACGGTGCCGTCTCACTCAACGCCGCCCTCAAGGCGTCGCGCAGCGAGACAGAGGCCATGGAGGTTGTCTGCCGCGGTTTGGTCGAGAAGATTGCTGCCGTCCTGATGATGGAGATTGAAGACCTCGACGTCACCCGCAGCTTGTCGCATTACCCGCTTGACTCGCTTGTCGCCATCGAGATCCGTAACTTTATCACTCGCGAGTTCGAGGCCAACATGCAGGTCCTCGAGTTGCTGAGCAGTGGTAGCATCCAGACTCTCACCAAGGCTGTGTGCAAGAAGAGCAAGCTTTGCGTCGGATTCGACTGGAGTAACTAGAGACTGAGCAACAACATTTGGAGAGATACAAGAGAGACGGGAGAAAGAGTTATGGGCATCATCATACTACGAAGACATGAAGACGAGTGAGTGGTGTTTTATTAGATTGTTAGTGTTTTTCGGAGATATCGTCAAAGATATAATGGGGCGCTTTTATGAGGATATGGATTGTGCTTGTATGAGTCAAGGGCATGGGATAAGACTTGATGGAAGGATTTACACAGGAACATGGTGGTCACACGGGACACAAGGGCGATCAGAACCACAATTCTGCAATCTCCTTACTATTACTAGTTGTTATGAGTGAGTTGTAACAAGTTTTATCTGTACTTCGTGTAGGAACGCTATGGGAACTGGCAGGGACAACACCGGGAGAAACAATTCAGCGAAACCTGGAGAGAAAGGTCTTGGAGGGATTACAGCTGAGGCTGAGAGGAGGAGATACAGTGGAGATTGGAAATCATTGGGTCAGGCATTGTGGAGTTTTGATGTCATCTACATTTATAACTTTCCTTAGCTACCTTAGTATCTAGTGTTGAATCATTGTTATCGTTTTTCCTTAGAAATCACTGACCCTATCCCTCCCCTTCGCTCGGCTAGTAGTTTGCCAACAAGTTGTGTTCCTCCCGGATAGTGGGAAAAGAAGGGACGGGTAATGAGCCACTACTTACTGGGGTACGACTAAGGTACTGTACTGAGGCAGCGTATAGACCCTGTAGTAAGGTGGTCTCTGGAGGGAATCAGCTAACCTTCAACTTGGCTGTGCTGTCTGGCTATATTGACTCACGGCTAACGGCCAGGTTTTACCATAGCCTCTATTAATTGACTAGCCAGTCGAGTTCAGGGACTTGGATCATCTCCTTTTGGCCTCAAACCCCCAACTTCCTTACCAGCACAATCCTTCTTTGCGCAGCATAAGTACGTGCCGCCTTCATCAAGTATGAAGCATTCACAACGACAACTCAGCTACCTGTTCTTCTGAAGCTTGAGCTCAGTCGTTGCTCTTCACTCTCAATCTTTCCAGCCCATCACAAATTTCCACGAGAGCGGACTTCATTGCAAGCCCTTCATTGTCTAGTTCGTTAGCGAAAGCATCCATCGGAGTGCGGCCGGCAATGTCCTTGAAATTCGACGGTCCATCAATTCTACCGGTCTTTACGAGGTATTCTGCCAGTTCCACATGGCCGTGGAAAAGAGCCTTCCACAACAATGTTCGCCCTCGATTGTCGCGCACACTTGGATCAGCCCCTCCAAGTTCGATCAGCAGTTCAGTCGTGTCCATCAACGCTGCATGTGTTTCCGCAGTCCGAAACTGCGGACCTTCCCAGAGGCTGTAGGAAGGCCACATTCCAAGCAAGATCGATTGGTGAAGGACGTCCAATGTGTTTACGTCGACTCTTTTGGTTTCAAGAAAGTAGCGAACGGCCTCTTTGTTGGAAGCCATGGCTGCATAAAATAGTGGTGTCCGGCCGTCTCTGTCTCGGGAATCTGCATCGACCTTTCCTGTTCGAAGAAGACATCTGACTATTTCCAAATCGCCCTTTCCGGCTGCGTATGATAACGGACTTCTGCCAGCATCATCTCTCGAGTCGGCTTCCACTTTGCCTGTCTCGAGAAGACGACCAAGTATACTCAAGTCGCCGTTCCTGGCCGCATGTGATAGCGGGGTTCGGCCTTCGTTGTCCTTCGAGTCTGCCTCCACTTCGTCTCTTTCGAGAAGATTCTTGACAGTAGAGTCTCGCCCCAAGCCTACAGCCAACAACAAAGGCGTTTTCCCGCCCGGGCCTCTTTGGTTGTATGCAACTCCATCAACGTCGAGTAAGAGGCTTATGATATCCTGGTGATTCTTGGCGATTGCATAAAGCAATGGAGTGGATCCATACGTGTCTGGCTCGTTGATGTCGGATTGACCTAACTGACAACTGACAAGATAATGGACTGTGTCGTAGTGTCCCATCTCGACAGCAACGGATAAAAGTGTTTGCCCATGAGTGTACTTGGGAGCCTTTGCGCCATGAGATTCCACAAGATCTCTTGTCAGATCTACAAAGTTCCTTGATACTGCCACAAAAAGAGGGGTCTCGCCCTCAGGGTTTTGTGCGTTGATCTCGAGCTTCCTCGAGTGGCAAGTGAGGTTTGATGGTCCCTGTAGAGAATTTGGTTGTTTCAAGCGATTTCCATTCGAGACAAGATTGAAGACCTCCCTAAGTCCGAAGTGAGCAGCAATGTGTAAGCCAGACGTTTCAATAATTGGACACGGCAAGACATTATCAAGCAAACGACTGCCTTCATAAATATGCCGGGTCCTTGGGCCAAAGAGCGCCTGCGCTGAAGCGCCCAGTCTTTCCCGGTCCTCCAGGAAACACATGACCTCTTCCTGGACGTGGTGTGATTCCCGAACGTGGTATCCCCAATTCGCCGAAGCGTAGTCGTAAAGCGGATGATCCTGAATGCGATCTCTTAGTTCATTCTGGTATCTGCACTGACCCGCATCGAAAACATCGAAGCTGAGATATGATACACAAGCAGCTGCTACCAGAGCTTCTGCTCCAGGAAGTCGCTCTGTTTTGTTCCGCTGGAAGTACTCCTGGGTAGTGTAATGCACAAGCCGCACTACACGACTATATTCGTCGATTGTGAGCAACCCAGCGCAGGCCGAGATGACATCTTCGATTTCAGGCCGGTTCTCCGCGTCGAGCTCGGTCATACCTTGCTCCACTGCAAGAGCTTCTTGTAACTCAACGATCTGAAGCGGCCTTTTCGAGCAAACAATCCATGATAATGCATCCTTGGCAAGTTCTGATTGGTCTTCTAGTTGACCTTCAATTCTTTCGAAGGCTTCATCGTAAGCGGTATCATAAGAGCTAGAGCCAGTGGCGAGTGTTTCCAAAGCGGCTTTGACAGCTTTTGGTGATCTTTTGCCAGTCAATGACTGAAGATGTAGCTTTGCAAGAAGAAACCTTTTCCACGTCAGTTGACTTAGGTTAATTTGTGCTGAGTTTTAACTTACATGCCGTCCACACTCGTCACAATCTTCGATCTGATCTGCGTTTGAAGATCTGTGTTCCTCTTCACAAAAGTGGGTAACTGTTCCATATTTCCGTTCAAGTAATCAGCTACATCTCCATCCGAAGCTCTAATTTCGAGCCTTTGGTCGTCTCGAAATCGCTGAGTGATACTTGGAATGAACCTGGAAGTGGCATAAAGACTCATATTCGAGAGTTTTTGTATTCCCGAGATTGTCTCTAGGAGGCCCTCGGGGGCTTGGTGCTCATCAAGTGCATCAATGAGGATGAACGTTTTGGAGAATAGTGATGCTACTGTTTGTATCAAATTGACTAACTCCATCTTTGACGGTCGTGTGTTGGTTCTTGTTTGGATTTTGTAAAGATGCTGTACTTCACCCGGCATGGTTGGAAGAGCATGACATAACTGTTTGAGCAGACTGGCTAAAATGTCTCGGATAGTCTGTTCGTGTTGCCGTCGAAAATTGCAGAAGACATACGCCACTCCAATTGTTGGATCAGTGGAAAACCGCTTGTGCAAGTACTCAACAACGACCGACGCAATGATCGTTTTGCCAGCGCCTGGCAAGCCGGGGCAAAACAGAGTGCTGTTCTCAGTTTGGATCCACGTCTGGAATTCGGGGCAGTCAAGGAGCCACTGTCCGGTGCCAGCATATCTTATTTCAATGTTGTCGCTTTGTTGTGCTGCGAAATCCATTGGCGTCAGCCAATCTAGAATCATGGCTTTGTTTTCGTCTTGGAGCTGCTGCCGCATCTCATTCCTTGCGTCTTTGACTTGCGCCAAAGTTGTTGCTGTCAACGTAGCGTTATCAATAGCTGTCATGCTATTGAGTAACCGACATCTTCGTTGAAGGTCGTCAACAGCGGCGTGGGTTCGTTCGCTCCTGAAAGCCCCCTTCAGTCTATCCCAGCCAAGACGGTGCCCTTCGCTCTGCTTCTGCAGCTTAGTAAAGAGATCTTCGAGCTCAATCCGGCAAACAGAGATGAGTCCCGGGGTGCTGGGATCAGAGGATGAGTTTCCGTCCGCAAGGTACGAAAGTACTGTAGACTGCCGCCCTTCGAAAGCGTCTTTGAACTCCTGATTCAAGATGATGTTGGTGTGGGTCTCAGAAAGGACTGTTTTCAGCGTCTCCAGCTCTCCCAAAAAGCTTCGTACATCGCTCGGCGCTTCTTTCCAATCAATTCCTAGCTTAACCCCCGCTTTGATGATTTGACCTGCAACGCCGATGACTCCAATGATCCCGAATGGATCTGCCATTGCGAGCCGCTGATGCAAATCCAGAGAGCACTCAAAGATGTGGGAGTGACAGAAATGAGGGGAGTGGGGTGCAAGAAGAACGTGAGAATGTGGGAGTTCCTGCTAACCCCCTGATTGCTATGCTCGAATATCACCCTTGACTTCTTTAAACCTCCTATTGGCCAGAAAAGAATTGCCGACCAAAAGTCTGCCTCGAGAAATGCCCAGTCGTGTTGTTTAAGCGTTCCTTTCGCGCCTACCTAGAAATGAAAGCGATTGGCTCATATTTTCTCGTACAACTGCTGCTAGAACGGCATGCTGACATGCAGGGAGCAGCATCCCGACGAAGAGGCTCATTGATTGGTTCAATTATTTTCGATTCCCACCAACCGAGTGCCTTTCACTCTAGTACCACTGAGACCCGTGGGGCCAGACCTCTAGATGCGAAGCATACATGCATGTACTCATGAATCGAGAATCAGCGACAGCACGGTCGTCATTTCATCCCAATATTCATGTTCAAAAATCAGGCAACAGGATTGTTCTGCCTTCATTTGAGGATTCGTCTTGTTCCGAGAATTCTCATGGCAAAGTTGATCAATTGAAGAGGTTTCGTTGAGAATTGAGGCAGAAGCTTTTTCACCCACCATATACTGTACGTCGTATCAGTAATTTCAGCTCAAAAAATTCATTTCTGAGATTCCTGAGTGCAATAGGCATGTTCAAATCCTGCCATGCCGGTTGTAAGAAGAGCTCTTCAAGGAAAGACAAGTGCCCCTGGGCCCCTGGGCCTATGCCTCGGCCCTCGCGTCTTTCCTGATCTAATCGCGATACTCATGTCAGAAAAGAACCATTGTTTTCTGCCGTTCGAATGTTATCGCTGCCGGAATGCATCGAGTCAAGTGAACTCATACGTGCTTGAAGTCGAGTTTTGTGTAAGGAACAAGAGTGGAATTGCCGATCTAACTCAGAAAGGGAGAAGGCCATTGCTCACCCCTTATTGGACGTCAAAAATGAGATGTGGGAGTGGACTCAAACCGTGGCCATCGTGTTTTTTTCAATCCAGCAGGCTAAAGAGTCCTTACAGCTCATGTTATCTGCAATTGTTTGATATCGATAACATCCAACAATGCTCCAGCGAGATCCTAGTCGACGGATGCGGACCGCTGGGGTGTGGGGCGTGGCAAAGGTCTTTGCCGGCGTACTGTACATAGAACGTAGAGAGTACGGAGTACGGTGTAATAACGCTTGCCCTACTACAGTTCCTTGCTGTCTAAGTATGTACTGTTCCGTGCGAGTTCTAGTAACGAATCAAATCTGGAAATCAGCCTTGGGAGTCTATGATGATGAGTAGTCCGAAGTAGGTGCGAATACACGTATTCTGCGGGTGGGTCATACACTAAAGATAGCCGACTATTGGCCCGGCGGCTCCCGAATACACGTATCGCAGAGCTTTTTAGGGGCGAAACTAAGCATAAAGTCGGACAGACTAATGATATGGTCCACGGATCACCCATGAAACCCGGCGCAGCTCGAAAAACAAATCGCGGCTGAGGTCCACGTACGTCAAGCATCATGGCTTAGAGAAGCTGAGCGAGTATGCCTAGCTAGTCGTGTGGACTCTTTAAAGTTTGTTCGCCGGCAAAGTGATCAGTCGAGTGGAAAACCCTCAACGGTCGCCTTCATGTCTCTTTATTGCTGACAACCGAATTGATCTGGCACGCTGCGACTTTCGAAGCATTCGGGGGTCTACGGATTCTCAGGGATGTGCATCAAACTTAGACGGTATTCGAGCCGACAAGAGTACATCAGTTTAGCCATCGACCGGGCCAACCATGTACAGACGTTCCCATAGGAAGTCCCGGAAGGGGTGTGCCGAGTGCAAACGACGCCACATGAAGGTAAGCTGGACGTATCGGTTTCCACGTATTTGTTACGCGTAACCCGCCGACGGGCGTCGTAAGGCTGAAGACATCGACTAATCGGATGAGCAGTGCGATGAGACTCGACCAAGATGCGTCAACTGTACGATGGTGGACCGCACATGTGTATTCCCATACGCTGCAGATCCAGGGTCTGTAGCAAGTTCTACACGCGGTGATGAATCCATGCAGGACTCCGTGCTGTCAGATGCCGGGACCTCGAAGCCGGATTCGCCGTACGGATCTCCGACCGGGAGGAGCCCCGCTATCATCCCGACTCCGGACTTGGCCCATCTGATCGTGTATACCGGCGACATGGGCCAGCCCGCTCCCAGTCTATCGGACAATATGATCAACATGGCGCACATGAGATTCCTGGTGCACTTTTCTCTAGCACTCGCCGTGCCCGAACTCGACCCGAGTCTTACCGAACGAAATACCCAACTCATCCTCAAGACAGGGTCCGATGCCCCGTACCTCATGCACGAGATCCTTGCCCTGTCAGCTCGGCATATGTCGATCCTTGAGCCAGAAAACGCAATGGAATTCCTACACGACGCAGTTCAGCTACAAACAAGAGCGATTTCATTATTCAACGCTCAAAAGGCGCGGATAGACGAGCCCAGCTGCGTCCCCTTGGTCCTGTTCTCCGCCATCCTTGGCCGTCATCTGTGCATCGACGCACTTGCATTCCGCAGCACCAGTCTGGATCCGTTCATTGACTGCTACGTGAACTTTGCCAGGATCCGAAGAGGCGTCAGGGTAATTGTGAGTCGCGCCTGGGCATTGTTGAAGACATCGGAGCTTGTCCCTTTGATGTCGTGGGGCTTGGGCCTGAGTCGGCTGAAAGGTGTCGGTCCTGATTGTGATAGCATCCTGGACTTGATATCTACATCACCAAACATTTCGCCCGCTGAGAAGGAGATTTATATGTCGGCTATCGACCTAATACAGGTCGCACTAGATGATCTAGACACCAGGGTATTCATGGGTCGGAAGTACCTGATTCAGATGGTATTTTCCTGGTCACTGATGGTATCAGAGGAATATACCAGGAAGCTTGCCGAAAGAAAGCCTGAAGCGATAGCTATTCTCGCTTATTACGCTTCTATTCTGCATCTGGCACGGGACCTTTGGCAGATTGGCGATTCAGGGGCATATCTGTTGGAAGTAATCTGCCAACATCTAGGAGATGAGTGGGCCGAGTGGTTGGCCTTACCCCGGCAGATTGTTTTCACAGAAACTTCCTACATTCCATCACATTCTCTGCTCCCATCATTATAAAGAAATTGTTACCATAACATTTGGAATTGGCCTAGATAAATGTGATGGTTGATGTAGAAAGATAGGATATGTTGTGCACAATCCAAAGGTGAGAAGTCATGATGGAATTACACTGCAAGACACATGTCATGGCAAGGTTCGACCTCGTTCTCAGATGGTTGGAAAGCAAAAAACCAGATTTTTATTTTCTAGAACCAAAGCAACGCTAAAGACATGTCGATATGAATGCGCTAATATGCTCGCTCGCTCGCTCGCTCGTGTATCGTTACTAGTACTGTTGACAAGTAGTGTATAAATAATTTACAAGAATATTACACGCCAGCCCGCTGACAATAATATAGTTTTCGATGCTTAGACCTTGGCGTAGGCCTTGATAGTGGGCTCACGCCTGACTTTGTTGGGGTAGGCTAGCACGTTCGCCCCGGCGTCGACCAAGACAGCTTCGGTTGCCTGGATCTCGAGGGCGTCAAGCTTGCCGGCAGCAGGATCGGCGCAGATTTTCTTGTCGATGCGGTCGAGCTTGCCAGGACCCTCATTGGTGAGAGCATCTCTCAGTAGGGCGAATGCAAGTGAGTTGTAGAGCATGCCTTCGTGGGTGACTTCGCCACCAGCAGGTGTAGCGGGGCAGGCTTTCTGAACCTCAATGTTGCTGACTTCGACACCATTGCCGTCTTTGAGAATGGCCGAGGCGATGGGACCTGATTGCGGTTGAACAACTTCGTCCGTTGCGCTGAACAGGGAAGTGGTAGGAACTAAGAGGAACTTGTTAGAGATCTAGACCAGATGATTCGCGAAGATGTGAGCTTACCATAGGCACTGTCACCCCCGTTTGCACGAAGGGTCTGGACGAACTTGGAATCATACATCTGTTGGTAGACGCTGGGAGTACAGCCAATGATAGCGGCAGGAGTCTTGCAAGCTGCGAATGCCTCCTTGGTTCCGTGGAAGTCAGGGCTCATTGATACCAGGTCGGTCACCGAGTCTCTGGTGCTGGGCCAGTACTTCAGCGCCCATTGTACGTTGAGATTTCCTTGACTCCAAGCGACGACAGCTGGCTTCTTGCCAGTCATGTCCTGTACGTAATTGATAGCGTATGCAACATACTCCGAATTCTCCTGCGCATCGTCCAGCGAGGCATCGGGGATGTTGACCCAGAGGGGGTCGGCAAAGTCAGACTTGGCCAGCAGAGGGCCAAGGTTCGCGCGATATGTCGTACCAGCCATCGCAGCGGTGCCTGGGACTAGAATGACGGGCTGCTTGTTCGATGATGCTGAGAATGTCTTCGGGATGTAGATGCTGGCTTTCAAATCTCTCTCAGACCTAGAGTAGGGCGCGTCCTTCTCCGACCTCTTGGGGTAAATTTTGATCTTCGGGTCGGGGTTGTCGTTTTTGATAGAGTTCATGTCTTCGCCGAGGAATGGATTCAATGCTTGGCGGTCAGGCTCCAATGGTCGCGACTCAATCGCAACAGGTGAAGAGTTGATGTTGGCATCGCGGACGTCGATGCTTGGGTCATTCACAGGTCTGGCGAGAATTTGGGTCAATCCCAAGATGAGAGCAAGTGCGGCGGCTGAGGTAGTCTTCATGGTTGCTGTAAGTGTTGTTAGAGCGTTGTGGGTCTGATGTTTTGGAAAAAGTTTGGGCATAGAGCAGGCGGGCTCGAAGGTATATATCTCTTTTTTGATGTGGTATCTTAGTATGTTCGTAGTCGTGAAAAACGGACTATGGATGACCCCGGTAATCCTAACAATGTCGACCAAGCTTATGTCTCGATCGCTGCTCACAGAACTCAGTTGTTTTGATAACGTTGTTGATGAATTGGAGGCTTCAAAACTAGCCTTGCCCGAGTGGTTCCGGACCGGCGGGATGCTGACGTCGTTCGCTATGATGACATGCCGACATGCCTGGACCGGCTGAACGTCTGAAGATGCCGAGGGGTCCTGTTTGGGCACTATACCCGTATCATTCATCAAGGGCTCGATTACTTACTCAAAGTTCTCCAATCGGGTTGCAAGACACCTACTTTGTGCCATCATAAGGGTCCATCAGCTATGAGGGGGGTGACGGAGAGAATTGCCTTCAGATGATGGCCGTTTGACTGACGAAACTCTGTTTCTCGTCTATTTTCTTAGTTCGTCTCCGTGACATCATGTCTAGCTGCTAGTAGACGCAGTTTCTCGGTATTTTGTCCAAAATAGGCGGTGATGGGTGGTGGCCTGTACACCGATCATCTGAACATTCAACATGAGTCTCATTATTCGCCCACCGGAACGCAGGAATTTCTTGAAAAGCCGGTAGATCGACCGATTAAACTTTTCCTCTTGTAAGCCTCGGACAATGTGTTCCTCCTGATTACTTCGGACATATACATTTAGAGATGCAGCATGACTTGACTTTCAAGACGAGAACTATTGATCCACCCGCGGACACAAGAAATCTCCGTCGCAAGAAGGAAGTTATTAGAGGTTTAGGAGACATTGAACATCTTCAACAATCTTGCGGGCGGTGGTTCTATTGCCTTTCTTTTCTTCTTGGCAGAGCTTTCCAAGGCTCGTCTCAAAAATTCCTTATCAACAGGGGTTTCTCAACGGATGGAAGAAGTCTTTGGCTTTGTGAATAAAAGAGCGATCTAATCACCCCGCATGTTTCGTGAGCCATGTAGTATGACGAAGACCGTTAATAGCTTGGCTCATTACCCTTGCCGAGGGCTCCGCATAGGTTCCAGAAGTGTCGAAAATGCTACTGTATTTCGTCTGATGTACGTTACTGTGGGAAATGCCTCGGTTCCCTACTTCGACGAATAGGGCATAGGCACACGCGAAGGCCTATACGCGCGCAATGCTGTCAGCCGGATGTCCGAAACTTTCATGCGATGGCACGGTTGGTTTCCGACTACCGTTATCGTGTTCGTAGCGAGAGGGTTGGATTATGTGACAGGCAAACTACTGTGGTAGTAGTCTTACTCTGGTCGGTGTCTTCCCTGCTATGCTTTCCAGATGGCACCTACCCTCCAATCATCATCTCCTTGACTCGAATGTGTTTGGAAAGCGATCAACGAAGTCCCACCGGTTCGTGAAAACCGGCGAAACATCCTTCATCTACCGTAAGAAGCAATAAAGACTGACGTTTGAATACGTTCCAAATTGGAGTCTGGCCAGACATGAGGCTAGGAGTTTGTGATCTTGGGGAGTTCAAGTTGAGACGAATCGACCTCACCTCAATGGGGGGTTGTCGCGGAACAAGTTACTATGCCACGCGTCATTTACTAGCAAGTTTCAACTTCATGGCTGTGGGAACTTGTAAATACAATGAAAGAATAATGTGTCAGATGGCTTGCAATGAAACTGTCGCCACAATTTGCCACGAATTGCATGTTGTTCCTGTGGAACAGTCAATTTTCCAATACTAGAGAACTCCTTGGAACAAGCATCTGCCAAATACTGCGGCGTTACATGAGGACTCTGTAGGGTATACTGAGGTAATTGCATTTTGCAATCAAGCTCTCGCTGAAGGACCTCCAGGAACGGATAGGAATGAAAGTATTCAATGACCCGGGCAACGATGACCGCATAGTCATGTCAAGAGACGTGGCTAGAAAACATTGTACCCGCAGTTCGTCTCTCGCATGGTATCCCAATAGTATACACGAGTTTAATGAAATCATCACTGATACCTTCTGTAAAACGAAGACTGGAAGGTAGCCAGAACTTACTATCGAGAATTGCGATAGCTTTGTTGAGATGTGCTCAAGATCAACGCGCACTACTTTACCGCCCTGTTAGGCAACAGCATTCATGTTCTACACGCGCACTTCTTAAAGTCTGGATTCTGTGTCTTTTGAAGCTTGAAGCCGAAAATGAAGGCAAGCTTGCTTCGGGACTAACATCACCGGCGAACGTATCAAACAATGGGTACTTGTAGACAGATGGCCAGACGATGAAAGGGGCCAATAGTTAAATGCAAGAAAACTTGAACTACATCGCGTGGTTCCTTCAACCCAGTGCCATGATGTCCATCCCTGCTTCTGTGACGTTGATAGTGACGTGCACTGACAGATCTCTAGATTGAGACGCAATTCGTTGTCGCAAATCGGTCCACATAGAACTAACTCAGCAAACAAGAAATGATGGGGAGTTTCAGATTCTTGAAGACTAGAGAAGGGAGCCTGACACTTCATCATGCTCAAAATCAAGCTGTATCAAAGGTTGTGCTTAATGAAGGGCCTCAAGGCTAAGGTAGTCCCTTGTTGGAAGGAGAAATCAGATTGGAGAAAATCATTGCGAAGTGAGTACCTATACTGGTTAGAAAGGATATCCGAGAAGCATCTTAATGCGCTACAGCCCGACTGGAGCTTAGAAGTAGAGGATTCAAGGTGGGGAACATATATTCTACACTATGTAATGGTCTACTATTCTGATCTTCTAAATAATACATACGATAACGGACAAGAGGAAACAAAGTTCAAGGAGTACCTTATGATGCAACTTGTCAACCCATCGTAGGCTATGACGAAGCAGACACAAAGCCGCAAACTAAATGAAGCCAAACTCCTTGTCCAGCTCTTGTGCCAATGCGATGGAGCCATTTAAAATCCACTCTGCGTCCTTACTCAGGGGTTTGACGTTGTGCCCAACCATGCAGCTCATCTGGGTTCGGTCCCCACCCTTCTCCCACGTTCCGTCGACCAGGGTATGAGTCGGAAGCCCGAATTCTTTTGGGTCAACCTTTTTGTTCTTCAAAAGCCCTCCATTGTACCAAATGAGATCGTCTCGCAAATCAACGTGTCCAATCACGAAGCTGCAGATTCTCTCGATTGAGTCGTTGACCTTGTCCTTGAACCAACCAACCATGGAGCCATAGTGCTTCTCGAAGGCATATGTTGCCCCGCTGAGCTCGAGTCCAAACCACCAAGTCTCCTTGTCGCCGTACGTAATTTTGTAGCTGACTTCTTCGCGCACATCGTATGTGTTCTGCCAAGCTACGTGGAGCAGACCCATCAGCACATCCAGACGCGACTTATCAATAACGACTACACCCGAATCGCCCTCTTCGGCGTAGTCCTCGGTCCAGACAAGTGACTTATTTAGCGTGGCGCTAGGTTCGTGAATCTGCGACTTCCACCACTCGTGACGGTCGGCGAATGAGTGCTGCCAAAGTAGTCGATCGTGGAAAAGAAGTGCCCCTGTCTGCTCATATGACGGGTCTAAGAAAAGCGTCTCCGGGACCTGGACGAAGACCGAATCCGCATCTGAGAGAATGACCTCTTCAAACGGCGCATACAGAGCCGCAAAGGCTTTGATTGCCCATCCTCCCTTGACGAGCTGCAGAGTCGTATCGTCGACGACGCTTAGAACGTCCAGGAATTCGATCCCCTTGAAGCGGGACTGCAACTTCTCGCGGTCTGCTGATGGCAAGTCCTCGTCTCCGGCATATACAATCTGGATTGTCATGTTGCTGTACAAGACGTTCTGGAGTGAGCCGATGAGGTGAGTGGCATATCGCATGGTTCCCTTGCCTGTTGGTATGATGAATCCGCGTGTTCCGGGGACGATGGACGAACGCAAATCCGAAAATGGTGTCTTGCTGTCTGGGCGCTTTGGTGAGCGTTGAATAAAAGGGAACAACGATGCGATTGCGCCTTCCACTTTCTCTAGAGTAGGCTTGATGTTTTCCGACTTGGGTGCGTTATCGAGAAATTTGACCCATTCTCGGGCTTTCTTGGCCCGCTGACCCAATTCGTAGAATTTCGACTTGTAAGGAGGTTGGATGGGATCGCCGATTAAGTTTTCGGCTTCATCACTGACCAAAGCAGCCTCTTTCTGCCATGCCGTCGGGCCATCTTGCTTCGGTTTGTCGGAACGTTGTGGTGGATGTGACTGCGTTTGCACCGGTGGGGGCTTGGCGGGGGACGTCGGATGATAAGAAGGAGTAAGAACATAAGAGGAGTATAAGAACAAGAACAACAGGCAAGCGAAGAAGATAGCTGTGGTCATCCGCGAGGATGGCATGACTTTGACGACCATGCCGGCCAACTAGTCGCGAATTGCGACTGACATATGAAGGGAAACGATGTTCTGGGAGTAGGCTTGTCGCGTGAGAACGATGGAAGTAAGTTCACAAACCCAGGGGGAAGGGTGAGGTGCCCAAGCACATTGCTTACCTTTCAAAATTGCGCCAAAAATCCTGGCCCCACGGTTGGTTACGTATGCCAAACTAAAGTAGGTAAGTAGTAGTCGCGTGAGGGTCCTTCGTCAATGGGTAGGGGGCCACAAAAGAAAGTTTAGTTCAAGTGACCAACAGAGTGATGAAAGCTGAAAGTGCATTCCATCCCATGTCCAAGTTGCATCGGCGCTTGTCAGCAGCGGCTGTCTCATGGCCCTCACTTCGAATCTTGAAGAACTACAACTAGACAATCACGGTTTCTTCTTGGATTTAATCGCGGAGAAGCCATCTTTCAACTTTCCAACGAGTCTTCCTTGTTGGCCTCGGTCGACACGGCATGGGTGTCCACCACATGGATCTTTGTCACAAACCAAGGTAACCAACAAAGCATCCCAACGCCACAAACATGGTTGAAGCAAGAGAGCGGCACAGCTACACCCACATCTTTTCCCGAGCTACTTCGTTACTTCCCAATCAAGCTATGGGTGGAGACTGGAGAATCCTTTTTGACACCCAGCTAAGGATGCTTCGAAATCTGCCCAAGGAGCTAATAGCGACGAAACTCAAGTACGAATCCTATCAGCAGCCTAATACTGTTTTTCATACCTTATCAAGTGGCACTCTCTCTTCCTTTGGCTTACTCCTTTGTTTTGATTCCATTAAACCAACTACCCTGTTTGTTCGGTGCTACTTGTCCGTCCCAGAGTCTTCGTCTTTCACACGGCGATGTTGAGGCCCACGTGGTTGGTCTTCTTCTTTGTTTGCTCATGGGTTCTGTTCACTCCGCTTTCCGAGGCGGCCAACTGTTTCAGCTATAGGGGGAAGCTCTTTACCGGCCAGGTACAGTATCCAGGGGCCGATGACAGTGGCAGCTTGCTCTCTACAGCCCTTACCTCGAGAGCTCCAAGCGGCGCAACAGCGGCAACAACTGCATTGGGATCTAGCTCAAGAACGGCTTCTGAAAGCCCAGATACCACCAACACCGCAAGGTCGTGTTCTGGGGGAAATGCCAAGAACACGACTTGTAGGCACGGGCAGGACGCGAGTTTCCAGAATCCAAGTCTTGGTGGGCGCCTCGCAGCTCGCGTGATTGGGGGTGCGGCAGCAACCATGAGGCAGATGCGAAATGTCGCATCAGTCAGTTCTCATCTTTTTCGCTGATTTACGGTTAAAGCATTTGACAAAAGTGGCTCTCGGATGATTTTGGAGCAAGATTTACACGGAGTTTGGGGGCAGATCGTTGCTTGCAGGATCATGATAAGTTGGTCTAGGGCAGACTCAATAGTAAGAGGTGTGGATCTTGGCGCGGAAAATAGTGCGGCATTGATCAATCGTTTGTTCCCCGCCTTGGTAGATGTGCCTCGCGCCTTTTACTAGTGCATGTAGATATCCTCCGTTGTATTTGTTGTTGGTACTACCTTCAACCACCACCGCTGACCTTTCGGCTACCGGCAGTTGCCTCGACTGAGATTTCCAAAGCCTTTCGATTCAGTATCTCTCATTCCTTGGCATTGTCACTGGGCTGAGTGGCATGCAGGATCGAGCTCCCGGTCTTCCGTGCTGAGTAAGGACCACTCACAAATATCCAGGGTGCGCAGCATCCTTGCTGGTCCCGCTCTTTCCGCCCGCCCCTTCCTTCTGGCTTACAGCGCTGTAAGGTAGCCACAAGATGATGGCCTGTCGAGCTGCTGCGCATAAGAGAGTCGCTAGGCACTTAGATCCTGCAAATTCCCAGACTATTGAGGTGCAGGGGCAAATCGGCTCCGTAATGTGGTCTTATTATGGTCGCTGTGTTGATGAAATTCCTCGAAGTCAGATATGATGACAAGTTTGCTTCAACAATGATGGATGACGGAGAGAAGACTGTGATCATTTGCAGGGTACGGATCTTCCCAGTAGATTTGATGGGGGCGATTTACCTGGGTCGGAAGCGGATGGTGCACCAACGGACCTATGAGAGGCGGTGGCTGAACTAATCGCAATGCGCCCAGGCCCATGAATGATCCTGTATTGATGCAGGTACAGGGGGCATGGGGGTAAAACAGCCCAGGCGCTGCGGGCTCTGCTTTATTGCTCTCCGGCGAAAATCTTTACGTTGAAGTAATGTCTTCATTTTCCGAGACTTCGAGGTGCCTTATTCTTCTTTCGGTCACAAAGTAGGTACCGTTAGATTGCTGCTGCTGACGATGTCAGTTACTGGTGCTCTGGCTGAATCATCCATATATGTGGTTGAATTGTTGATAATTTTAACGCAAGCTAGATATAGGTAGACCTGCTGCATGGGGATACTTTACTCTTCTGCTGACCAAATCTTACATTGTGGTATCCAAACTCGGCGATTTAACAATGCGCTCTACCGTGGGTGACCGGTATCCAACTTGCCAAATCTGCAGTATTGCCCTTCTACTACTCAAAGAAGTTTGGACAAGAACATGAAAGTCGCTAGAATCTATCTTTTTTTGGCCAAATTTTTGCCACTTTGCGTCTGCGCGTGTCGAGGTCCGTCACATGGATGAAGTTAATTTATCATCACAACAGCGGCCAGCCTGTAAGGTTCCAGCGACCGGCACAACGACCCGCGCCGCGCCGTTCCCGATTAGTGCCCCACATTATCGGACGGTTGATGCTCGCCGGAGCAGAGGTGGGATGGTAATCGAACTCTTTGAAACTTCCAAGATTAAACCATATGCAGCGGAAATGACAGAGTGGATAGCTACAAAACTGGACTATAATTCGCTTTTGTAAGTGACATCTGCTCTCAAGAATCTGATTTTATTTCTCCGAAGGAGGGGGGAGGGGCGAAGCCTAAGGGTCGCGGACGACGACGCAGGGGCGAGTTTTGTGCGCTCGAAAGACGGTTGTGAGCGGTCCCGAGGGCTGAGCTTCATCGATCAAACTCTATTGTCGAGGTAATTCGTATCCCTGGTGTGAGATAATGACGCTTCAGAGAAGATAAATAGGCTGACAATCGTCATTGGTCGAGAATGAAAGAAGCACAAGACCAAGTGTATAGGTCATCTTGGGGCATCGCACTCAACAGACGACAGTCTATCCCTTCTCTACATGCAGTCCAAGTGGCATTTAGACTGTTTCAGGCCTTGGAGAATAAAGCCCAACGCTTCTGCTTGCTGCAAGTTTCTTCGGCAAAGTCCAATGTCTTGCAACTTCTTCAGACTGTGTCGTTCGTTTTTGCGAATATGCTGCGTAAATAGGCTTCTATTTCGAAGAGTAACATAAGTCCAAAGATACAGAATTCATAGTTACGGAAGTGAAAAAGAAACCCAATGGTTTCAAAATGCGCCCTATCAGGGACCTAAAGAATTATAGCTATTGGCACACTAGGCCGTGTGGTGACACATGAAATGAGGTTTAAAACAATCAGGCTCTAAAGGCGCGCTAGCTTAGCCGTCGCAGGGTCCTGAAGTAAGCGACGCAGAATTTTGCCAGATGCGGATTTGGGAATTGCCTCAGTAAAAACAATTCCACCAGTAAGCCTCTTGTGTGCCGAAAGTCGGCTCTCCATGAATTCAAGAATCGATTCGGCGGTGACGTTGCTGTCTTTGGGGACAACGTGAGCCTGTGGATGTTCTTGCCCCTCTCTGGTCGCGTGTTCGTGTAAGCCAAATGAAAGCGGCAAATAGGAAAGGCATGAGCGCACCTTGTAACGCGAATAACCGCGCAGTCCTTGACTCCTTCATGCTCAAGGAGATGCCCCTCAAGTTCGGCTGGGGCTACTTGAAAGCCTTTCACCTTGATGAGTTCCTGTACTCCGAATAACATGGTCAGCAAATGCTTGAGAGGCCTCAGAACAATGCGGCACAAACCTTTTTGCGGTCCACAATAGTCAAGAGTCCAGTCTCCTGAATGGACACGATATCTCCAGTTTTCAGCCAGCCATCTTTGGTCCATGCTTCTTCAGATGCGCTCGGGTTCTTGTAATAGCCCTTGAAGACATTTGGCCCCCGAATGAGCGCTTCTCCCTCTTCATTGCAGGCAACTTCGCGGCCATCGTCATCGACGATCTTCATCTGCATGTTGGGGAGAATATACCCAACGCCATTGTGCAATGGGTCGAACTCGTCAGGGGCAAACAAAGTGACTGCCATCGTGGCTTCGCTCATTCCCCATCCCTGTCGACTGCGAGCTTTGCCCCCGCTGAACACCTCTTCCAATCTTTTGGATAGCTCCGGTTGGAGGGGGGCTGCTCCACAAAACATGGACCTCACGCTGGACACGTCGTAACGGGGTAGGAGATTGCTTTTCAATAGCATCACAACTACCGGCGGGGCTAGGAGGAGATGTGTGACGCGGAACCGCTGAATTGTGCTCAGCAGAAGCTCAAGACTGAACTTACGCATTGTGACTGTAGTGCAAGATCTGCGTACATTGACCACGCAGTAAGTCATGAGTCCACCTAAGCTCGTGGTCAATGCTTCGTGCCGCAGTAGTGTGTGGTTGAGGTTCTGGACTGCAACTTACTGGCATGATAAAGAGGCAGGAATGCACAGTGAACATTGTGAGTTGAAGATCCTTGGTCCTTTGCTCTCAACTCGCTCACTCGGTCAAGGTGAAGTGTCTGTTCCGCATTGGCAACAAGATTGCGGTGGGTGATCATGCATGCCTTGGGTTTTCCCGTTGTCCCACTACTGAAGTTAAGAACTGCGACCCTTGCAAATTGATCAGCATTGCGTTCATGCTTTTGTTCCCTTGCAGCAGCTCACTTTTCTGCCAGAATTAGAGGATCACTGATTGCCTCCCAAGAGTATGGCTCAGCCAACAACTTTTGCATGGTACGCCAGCGATCATGCCTAGGCCGACCCTTGTTGTCAACGAGGACGACAGATTCTTTTGGTATACCGGCACTCCTTGCAGCTTGCAATGCGGTTGTGAGTCGGATGGCATCCGTGAAAATGCACTTAGCACCGGAAACAGTGAGTTGGTGGGTCAGTTCTAGTCCGGGTTACCCATGTGCTCCATGCTTCGTGCCGAGGTATCTCATTATGAATTCGTAACTCACCAGCCTCCGTGTACCCCGGATTGGCACCAGTGAAGATCCCACCTGCACAGATTGCCCCAAGGATTATAACTGGGTACCATGCCTGGAGTGATGAGACACAATATTAGGGGATAGCCGGATGTCATGGCCGTGGGACTACTCACAGAATTCTCAGTGTAAGCGAGAACAACATCGTCGTTTTGTATTCCCAATGTTTGTCGGAGGCCACCCGCTAGTTTCTTGACGCAAGTCTCAAATTCAGACTTACGGAGACTTTGAGCAGGTTTCTCGGCATCAACGAAAATGGGCAAATCCCCATTCGGGGGTGACGTTCCTGCAGTCTATTTTAGCAAACACAAAAAACAAAACACATGCCATGGCGACATGAACTGTACCGAACACGTATGATAGAACATCGACTTGAGGTATGTCTATCTTGTATTTAGAAGAGAAAATCATGATGGTATTGGTAATTTCAATGTGTGTTCACTTGCTGGATAGACCGAGATGAACCTAAAAGAAAGACGCACAACGCCAGCAGAGGTGGTGACTGGCAAACTACAACTCCAAGAGAACACGTAGTTGTGGGTTTGGTCTTTATATTGTAGTACCCAGTCGGGCCGAATAAGGAAGCTCAAACCTTTGATACTTACGAGCAGTCTGCAGCATTGCAGGAGGGGCACTTACACGGACGGGCTTCGGGTCTGAACTTCTGAAAGCTTAATTCACCCGAAATAATCAGCTTAGCCCCGATGCAATCCTCAAGCTAGACATTTGGAGCGAGAACTGCGACTTCGAGCAACGGCTACGCCTTCCCCATTCAGAAAAGTGCCTTGGTACTGATCTCTATATTGAAATTCAGTCATAATTTGTTTAGCATCCGGAGTCTGGTTTTCTCCGCCGTGTTGGGGTGGAACGCGCGGCAAACGTTCAATGTTTGTATTCACCGCCTCAAGAAAAGGTCCGATCGGACACTCCGTCGCTTACCGCGGCAGATGCAGAATCAAGGGTCAAGAGAGAAGGGGCATTCAGACCTGTTGGGCAGCAAAATGCTATTACTATGCTGAGAAGCCATTACTGATTCGTATGCGGCTAGAGTCGAAGGTAGTTGCGGGGTGATAACAGGGTGTTTTCGGCCCTGTCAGTTCAGGCGGCGCGGCCCGGGGTTAAGTCAGAGCAGACACGGGCTAGCATCATGTGCGGCAAACAACCACGGGAAGCTGGAGTGGGATCCGGCCGGCATTACTGGGCTAGAGTAATTTTGGAATTCCCCTCAAGATAGAGTTGCGCTAGTATCATCTCTTGGCCTGCGGCCGGATGATTCGATATCTGCGTCGGTCATTTTCAGAGTTCGGTGGTTCCAGTATCGCTGTCACAAGTGCATGAGGTGGATCGCCGGGATTTTCGGGGTCCATCCCACTCGTCTCAACTTGCCTGTGTCTGAGCTATCATCTATCAAAGTTGATCCGTTGACTAAGAAGGAAACTCCGAGCGTTGAATATTGACAGTGTGGGCAGTACCAATCGAATCCTGGCTGAATAATCTTCGGGCTGGCCCCATTTCTCATGGACTCGGGTCTAACTTCAGGCTTCAGCTTCTGTCAGTTCGGGCGGGATGACAAGGGCCTACCATTAAACACACGTGGCCTTCTCATTTGGCATTTCGAATAAGATTCTGACTCGTCTTTGGGCTTTCGGAAGCAGATATAGACAACTTATCTGAGTCAGACGTAAGCTAACCACTGCCCACTTCCGATAACCTAGCAACACTCTCCGTTGGAACCTCTCTACGAGGGAACAGTTCCTACACGGTTTCGGATCAGGGATCATCAAGTACTGGTGGCACCCAGCCAAGAGGTAGTACCCAGCCTCATTTTCTCGTACGAGTTACACACTTTAGCCATGTCTATCCCCATTGCCCAAGTCTTCCGCCAACAAACTGCTGAGTTGAGTAGGGGTTATGAGCGTGTCTCCTAGTCAAAATTATGCTTGCACAACTTGAACCTCGATATCTTTGTCGACTAGTCTGCACAGTTACAGTAACAGTTCAATTCGCATGCTATCTCTACTGCCTAAAGTAGATAGATGTGCCTTAGATCTATTCCCTATTCATTCCATAGAGTTGTTCGAAGCTCTACATTGCATCTGCGTCACGGGGCACAAGTTCGAAAAGAACCGTGAGAGACGGGGGCAACATGTGATGCTGCTTGACACAAATCCAGCCACCATCCTCGAACACACCCTCCCAGTCCTCCACTGTGGGCAACTTGACATCCATCAGCGCATGGCCAAACTCGAAACCCAGGGTAAAGATAGGCACGTCATCCTCTTGTACTGCATGGCGAGATTGAGGATCATTCGTGAGAATCCGCACCGTATCGCAGATGAAAAATCGTTTTACACTCGGGAAAGCTTTGCGCAGCCTCTGCAGAGAGCTAACACATTTCTCCCGCGGCCAGAAGTCGTGGCCCATCAGAAAGGACGTCAAAAGGTCCACGTTGGCAAACTCATCCCGATAGTCGAGCTTACGCGCATCGCCGACTAAGAAATTGATGCGGCCACCATAACCACGCTTCACAGCATCTGACCTAGCAAGCTCAATTGCCGGACCAGCAATATCGATGCCAAGTCCAGTGCTCTCAGGATAGCGGTCGAGGACTTGCATGATCCTCTCGCCACTCCCACTGCCCAGGTCCACAACGGAGGTAAAGTTCTGGCCAGACGACTTTAGGGCGTTGAGGAAGACCGGATCAATGAATTGCGTGTTTGCGTCACGGCACGCGTAGGCGATTGCCGCAGAATCACGCGAGTAAAATTTGCCCTCGCGATTCTCGTTGCGAATGACGTATTGCATGCGCGCGAACAAACTGCCGGAACCAAGAGCAAGCCAGTGAAAGAGACTTTTGGTCCGGTATGCCTCTTCAAGCAACCTCCCGGGCAGAGCAGTTCCCCCCTGACGCTGGAGGATGTCAGAGGTAGCGAGCGCGGAGACCAGGGCGCGAGTCGAAGCGAGATCCAGGTTGCGGTTGGCCGCGAACTCGTCGATATCCACAGCCTTTTGTGTACGAACCTGGTCCAGTAGTCCGAGTTCCCAAGCAGTGCCGATGGCGCCGGCGGCAACGTAGGAGTTGAAGATCTTTGCAATGTCGTGCTCAGAGGAGAGCTTCATGTTGGTGATGGATCCCATTTTGACGGTGATAGTGATTGAGATACTTTTCGGAATAAAACGAAGAACCAAATAAGTTTTTCAAATCAAGAGGGAAAGCTTGAAAAAGTTCATGCGCTTTGAAAGGCAAATCAGTAGGTTTCTATGTGCCGTTGAGATTCCGGCAAGAGACCACGAGAGAGTCAACACGCCACTTTATACCCATGCTGAAGCTAAGGGGACGATGTTGCATCAACCTCAAGATTTTCTTCTGATGATACGCGACAAGAACAATTCCCGTTAACATCCCAAACCTGCAGGGTACGATAGTGCTTTGGAAGCCCAACGCAATGCAAGCGGAAGAGTTCCGATCATACTGGCGAGAAATTGGAAGTCCCGGAGTGTTCCACGCTGCCCGAGATTTTCAGCGGCCCGGTCTGTCACTTCCATATTTCGGAATGGCGACTTCGAGCTTCCATATGCTTCCGGTCGATTATGAGTTGACCTCTGACAAGAAAGACCGAATACGAGGTCTCTGTGTATCCAAGGACGAAATCCTGTCTCCGACATGTCAAAGCTAGAACTTGTTCTCAAATTGTTGAAGCTGTACTGAATCCTCCAGTATGCCAAAACCGACATGTGATAACTCTAGACCCCACAGAGCTCCTTGCTTTCATACCTCCGACTGAATTGTCTGCCCAGTGAGTGTTTTCACAGCCTACTTCCTCCGCCAAGACCATCCTTGCTCCTTTGAGTTCTCTCTAGATGTTTTCACTTTCAGGGAAGAGTTGGCCTGATGGATCATGGCCGCCCTGCAAACTCGGGATCAAAGTGTTGTCAGTTACGGGCTGCCTCTTGTGGCAAACCGGAGTATCATGCAAGTCAGTCGCGATGAAGACAAATTTTGGCTATAAATGGTCGTGCCTTTGACAACAACATTTGGACTTCTTCTTAGCATCATCACCACAATAAGAAAATTTTAAAACTCGATCCAATCTCAAAACATCATTCAACATTATTTTTGCCTCAAAATGTCTTCCATCTCAGCCTCTACTCAACTCGGCACTTCTGTTAGTGAGACTTCCCCTTCAATGCCACCCCACCAGGTCATCCAAGGCTGCAGTGTCTGGCACTGGAAAGATGAGCTTTCTCCAGCAGAGGGCTGGATAGTTATCGACTCACCCGTGCCTACTCACTCGGGTGGAGGATTATTCCTTC